TTGACCTTTTGCGTGATTTCTCTGCCAATCTGCTGCAGGACCGGGTACGCCGCGTGCTTTGTGTCATACTGGACAGTGGGCTGCCGGGCAGTCAGTTAGTCTCGAGGCAGGGCGTGACTTCGTGGACAGGCGAGGCGACTTACGCCTCCGTGGCTGAAGAAGTACACGGGTGGTTTGGCCATTGGGGCGGCAGACGAGGACGTATTTGAGCAACTCGGCTGCAGGAATGGTGCTGTTTTGGCGGCAATGTCTGTGAGGGAGATGGGCGACAGGAGAAGAGCAAGCACAACGGCTACGGAAGCGAGGGCCAAGGATCGGCTGGACAGCCACGACATTGTCTGCTCACTTGAGACTTGGTTCTTGGGTGCCCTGGCTGCGATGCCCGCCGTCTTATAGACGTTGACCTTTGTGCGCGAGTCGGATGGATTATCAATTAGCGCGCGGCAACTGGTCGTATGAGCCAAAGGCACCACGTCGAATGTTTCATTACTCAGCGCCAGGCTTGGCGGTGGTCCCCTGGTTTCAATTTCGGCGGGAGTTGAGTTCCAGCTCACCTCATTCCCCAGACATGAAAAAAAAAATGAATTGACAAAGCCCGAGGCAGCCGCTCACCATCTTCCAAGTCGCAGCATTGGCTTCACCATGCCGGGAGGAGTGTCAGGGTACAGGCAACCGGAAAAAGGTGTCCTGACCATGCTGAGTCGAAGCACGCTGTGTTGCCGGCTAGGTGACGCTGTTGGACCAAGAGAACTTGTCGAAACGGATGTCTAGGAGGAATATTTCATTGATGGATTCCACAAAGGGAGGGCCTGATATGCCTCGTTATTTACACGACTTGGCTATCGTCTTCACTCCTACCAACACCCTACAGGGCGCATGACTACCATGTCAAGACATCGTCAGAGGTATCCTCCCCGAGGCACGCCGTGGAATCTGGCTGCATAAGAAACCGAATTTTATATGAGACCAGGAATATAGCGGCCACGTGGCAAAATCAGTCACGTTAAAAAGCACACCTCTAACAAGGGAGCGGTTTCATTGCACAATTTATCAGAAAAGCTCAGCTAGACCCTTCAGTAAGAGATTCTCTGCTCCTTGGCTCTCATTCGGCACTGGACTTGCTGCGTTTCTGCCGAGATATACCCAAGTTTCCAGACCGTTAGTTGCTGTGACAGGAGAGAGCTTTACCAAGATGCTGCGTTCATCATCATCGGTGCAGTCTCTTCCTTCTCTCGTCCCATTTACAGAAGCAACCTATTCCACGGAAACAATATGAACGAATCATCCCATTTGCCACCCGAGTCTGTTGGGATTAGGGTTCGACTCAGCCTGTGCGAGCCACACGTCGTTCCACCTGGGGGGGGAAAAGCAGGCTCTGTATATCTTTCTCGTGCCGATTACTCGTTCGCCTACACTTCTTCAACTGTTTCATCAATCTAGCCATTTCGTCTACATCAGAACCTGTACCCACAATCGTTGCCCATGGTGTATATGGCGTTTCGTCAAATACCTCCTCGAGACCTCTCCGAGCAACGAGGCATTCCGCTTCCATGGCACAGATCTGACCAGTAATTGAAATCACCTTGAGATTCCATGCCCGTCGACTGATGGGGGAATCCGGCCCCGTCGATAAAACTTGGCTAGCCAAAAGGTCCCGTCAGTGGCAAGCATCTGAAGCTCACCAGAAGTTCTCCGGCCGAAAACGCAAACACAGACATGGTCACACAGCACAGAATTCGTTCCGATGCATTCCATGCTGGACGACATGCAGCTTACCCCGCCTCGGCCGCCAACCATAGCTTTGGAGAATGGTGGTACCGAGTGCCCTTTTTGGCCCTCGTATGAGGAAGCTTGATGCTAAGCTTTTCGTATCGACACCTGGTTCATGCATGCGTACACAACCGCCAAGACGCCTGACTATCTAGTCGTCAAGTTCTGTGTCCGGCTCTGGGCATGTACAACTGATAATACGTTGGGTTGTCTCGTATGATGTGGTAAGCCATTGGCATGGTCCGGGCAAAAGCAGGGTGTCGCACGGGCGACTCATGGTCAAGCATTTACGAGTTGCTTATTCCACCCCAAAGGTTTGGATAATCGGCCTAGACGCCCGGCTTTACCTCTGGGTTATGTGTGGCACTCTACATGTCCGGTACTCTTTTCGGCCCATAAGACAGCAGATGACAACGTGCTTCACATTAATCTTCCCACTTCTTCTTTTGGTTCTGTTTTCTATACATTGCTCCCATCAGGCCCAATCCTCAAGCTATTTTGGAAAACGAGCCTTGAGGTCCAGCAAAGAATTGTATCTTCAATACAGTCGACATAACTTATTTGGCGGAGCGACAAGCATCCAGATAAAACACCAGACTTTGTGCACACGACTGACTACGTCAATGGCACGCTTACAGTTCGGGGCCGCCTTCTGTCTCGCTCTCTGGTGGTCCTCTGGTATACAAGCTACCCAAATCCACAACAATCCAATTGCCTGCGCTGTAAGTCTCCGTCCACCTCAATGTTGTGAACCGGCGTGGGACATGCAGAGCATTTTCTAGTCAAGTTGCTGACCAGACGCCTCTGGGACCAGATCGGCTGCCTCAACGCGTTCAAAGGCGAGTTCACAAGCCAGCACCAGGACCCGTATGTTGGAGCATGTAGGGGTCCCTTCCCAAACGGCATTGCCTGCTGCATCCTCAAGGCATGTCCTGAGGACCAGTGGCAGATGTTTTGCGGCAAGGACAATCATGTTCCGGACAGGCAGTTGTGTCTTGCTTAGTGTTTTGCACACGTGGCAACAACAAACACCTAGATCTTGCTCGGTTAACGGAGGCAACTGAGGGCCCAAAGAATCACAAGAACACTAGATTCTGTTTGAGTTTGAACTGGAGGGTTATAAGTTGCCTACGTTGTGGTTAGTACCTAGTAGTTCAGGGGCGACTCAACAGCAACACGGCCAATGACGTCAAAGAGGTTTAAATGTCAATAGGAGGAATCCTGGATTTTATTTCTACCAAGTACGGAGTAATAAAATTAATTTGCCCGAATATCAATACCGTGTTGCCCTGCCAGAGCATCCGAGACCCGCACAGCAAATCACTGGCTCCGATGGTGCTCGTCCATGACCCACTTTCGCGCAGCTCCCAGGAAATTTGGTCGTGGACTCGTGGCTGGCCTTCAAATTTCCATTTCCATTTCCAACTCCATCCCCATGAGAGCTCGACCTTGACCTTGACCTCCTCTCTCTGCATCCACGCGCATCCGCAGCGACCGCGATTTGTGCGCCCCTCATCAATTCCTCTCCCGTCAGCCATTGGTCTTCGGACTCATCAGACACCAACTCCCAGCCATGGCTCCTCTCATCCTCCATAATGTCCCCGATGAGGAGTGCTACGTCGGCGACGACGGCATTAAGCGGCCCTACGCCATGTACTTCAACCAGTTTGTGCTCGCCATGCTCCGTCATCAAATCCCCATCAAATCCCTCCCTTTTTACTGACTCCATCTCCAAAGGAACGACGCACACACGGGTACCTCCAGATCACGGCGCACCGTCGCAGAAACCGGCTCGTTTGGCAAATCCACCCGACGGTCTCGATCAAGAACTGGCACGCCAGCTCGAAGTCGCGAGAACCCGACCCTCGCTGCCGCGGACAAGCTCTTCGGCGATTGGGTGTCCAACCAAGCGGCCGCTGCTGCGCCATCCAACAACCAGCGCAAGAGCAGCGGTCTGATGCAGGACGATGCTCCTCCCAAGCGCGTCGTCAAGTCGGCTCCAGTCGAGGTCATTCTTCGCGGTTACCGCTCGTCAGTCCAGCAATACGCCGCCATTTCCCACTATGAGGAACTCGCCGGTGCCATCCTCGAAGACTACCCTCGGGACCCTCCCGCTTCGCAAAGGCGATACAAGTCCGAACTGCGCGATCCTGCCTTCACGCGCCGACGAAAGCTCAGCCCCGAAGAACGCGCTCTCGTCAACCGTGCTGATGGCGGCGAACACTGGGTCAAGGTCACATTTGAGAGCGCCGAGGCTGCCAACGAAGCCATCTACGCCAGTCCCCAGCGGATTCTGGGCTACCTCGTCTTTGCCGAGCAGTACAGAGGCATCCCGCCTGCCAAGGATGAGGCGTGCCCGGATATCGACAGCATCATGGACAACGAGTTTGAGCGAGCCCAAAGCATGCCCACCACTATGGACACGCCACGTCGGAAGAGCACCGACAACAACAACAACAACAACAACAACCTGCCTCGCATGCTGCGCAGCCGACTCATAGACATGTCGCCGTCGGAATCAAAATCGTCCAGCCAAACCCTCGACACGGCTACACTGACGCCATCGCACACGTCCTCGGCCACCCTGCAGGAAGCAACCGGTGCAAGCTCAGGTGTAGAACCCATGGAGCTGCAAGAAGACAGCATATTTTGCCGCCGCATCCCCACCGCCCGCCGAGCCCGCCTGCTCCCTGCCGAACAGGCTCTTCTACCGCAGCAATCTGTCATGCAGCGCTTTGTAAATGCCGTCCCATTTATTAAATGGTTTAGCGGCAGCATGATTGGCAACGAGGTCCCTCGAACGGAAACAGGCGAGTTCGACTGGGGACGCGCCAGTCTGTATTGGAAGATTATCTGGTGGCTAGATGCAACATTTGGCCTGTTCAAGGGCGACGTCTACAGCGTTGATAAGGACGACTAGAAGCTTCTTTCTTGTCAGCCGGGACAATAGCTTTGCATCTGGCGGCAATTGCGTTTATGAGTTTTTTTTTTTTTTTTTTAACGAAATGCTATTGGAGTTGGCGGTATTAATTTGCATCTTTGTCGGTGTTGATGGCGCAGGACCAATCATAGGGAGGGGGGCATAAAGTTGCTCAAAATGCTACACCAGCGAAACGTGTATATCTAGAACAAACGAATAAAGCCCACGTTGTAAAAAGCGCCGCGCAACATCAGAGCCACGTATCGTCATGCCGGGGATTTGCGCGCGCAACCGTATTTTCACATGTCAATTACGTCCTTCCAATCAGGCAAACAATGCCGCCATGCAATACTATTATACCGCTCAGTGATAAGCAATGAAGACAATTTGTAGTAGTAGTAGTAGTAGTCGTACAAGCCCGGAAACCCCATAAAAGAAGAAAACCAACTCACGAATCCTCCCACGTGTCCGCGGCAGTCTCGTCTTGGCCGCGATCCCTCTCCCCTCTCAAATCTGAAGTCGACCTCGTCCGCCCCCTGGCCGCCGCCTCCTCATCATCCTCATCATCCTCGCCCTCGTCCCTTTCCTCGTCGGGCGGCCGCCGCTCATGCTCGGCGTCCTTGGGCGCATCCGCAGACGGCTCCCCCATGGCGCCCAGCGACTCAAACGTCACGTCGGCCGGAACCCGCCGTATCGGCTGCGGCGAGAAGGGGCTCG